GGAGGTGTTGAGATACACCCGAGGGGGAGTATTTTTGACTGCCACCGCGAAGGCGCGGAACGAACGTCGCCATTGCAGCGCTGAAAAGGTGGCGGCACGCGATCGCGGTGGCCCCCATTTGGGCAAGAGATGTGACTCAGGCTCCGGCTTTTGGGGGTCCTGACGGGATCCGCCCAAAGGGAGGCTCTCCCCTAAGGGGACGAAACGGAGCCAGGGCACACAAAGTCACTCCCCGAGGGACCTCTGGGAGGTGACAAGCGCCGATCGAGGCGCCCCACGGAAAGACCCTCGCAACCCGGTCTTAGGTGTGCCAGATTTGATACCCGGTTCGTCCTTTTCCAGGACCACGCGTGGTAGTCGTCGCCGCACAGTGAGAGGGCCCGAGTGATACAACTCGAAGGTAGCCCTCCGCCTCTCGGGGCACGACGACGCAACGGGCCGGCTGACGGAGAGAAGACAGACCCCGGAGGGACTCTGTACGAAAGGAAAGGACCCCGCCCGCAAGAATGACCAAGGTCAAATGCCGCCGTTCGAGCAAGCGGGCCATCTTGGGGCGGCGGGAAACGGCGTTAGGCCTAGCGCACCCGCTTCCGCGGGAACGATCAGCGTTCCGTTCGCCGCGGTCGACTTTCGATCGGCGGGAACCGGGCTGCATTCTCTACGCCTCCACCTGGAAGTTGCCGGGTCGCTTTGGGTTCCGGCAACGCCGTTTGCGGACCGGAACCGTCTTCGAAGCGAGGTTATTCAGAGCGAGCTCCTGCACGTGCCCCGAAGGAGCAACGTTCGGCCGGCCGTCCCCCCTCAAAATCAGCCGCAAACAGCTCTTCTGAGGCCACGTCGGTCAACCCCGCGCAGCGCGGACGTTGCTGCACCTCCCGACCGCCGGACCCGAGCTGCAGCAAGGTCGTCGACGCGCCGAACGCGAGTCCAGGGCACCGAACGCGGAGACACCCGGCTACGGAGGCGTGCTGCATGCAAGAGCAATGGCCGCCACCCGCGCACAGTCCTCGACGAGTCGGGTCTTCCCGGTTCTCCCAGTACCAGGGCGACCCGAGCTGTGCCTCCGAACGCGGCCCAGGACCCCGACGCGGCCTCGGACAGCGTCACCCGAGCGGACGCCGAGCGCCGAAGCTACCCGCCGCGAAAAAGGAGCAGCCGCCTCGAGCGAGCTGCCGCGCGCCGTCCCCGCCGCCATCTTGGAACGAGGCGCCGCCAAAACAGCTCGCCGACAGGAGCCTCCAGAAATCGCTCGTAACTCGGCGCCGGCTCGTCGCAGCGACGCGCCGTTTGCGGCAGCATCCGCGCCACGAGTCCGGGCACTAGCACTCACCGTTGGACGAGTCGACGGTGCCCCGAAGCGCTCCAAATCGCCGGTCATAGACGAAACCAGGCGGCGGCGAGACGATCGACGCGGCGCCTTTGGTACGGGGAGCCGGAGGCGCCGAAGCCGTCGGGGAGGAAGCCGCAGCACAGCCGTCTACGTCGGGGTCCAGGGAGAGCCTCCGGAGCGGGCGGCGGAGGGTGGCTCATTGCGAGTTCCTGATTGGCCGGGGCGGGTCACGTGGGACCTTCCCGGGTAGCCTTGATCGGCGCCCTCCAGCAAATGGGAGCGAGGCGGGCCTGGCTGTGCCCGCTCCCGCGGACGCTAATGGCGACGCCGCACTGCACTCCCGGAGAGCAAAGCGAGGTCACCCGCTCCGCGCGTACTTTCATTTATGTCTCTATTTGCGGCCGGAACGAGGACGCGTCGGAGTTCATTAGTGCCGCGCCGTCGACGCGGTCGGGAGCGCGATTACGCCGTCTCCGGTCGAAGGTGTGCGCGGGTGCGCGACGAGGACGCATTGTCGGTCGGCCGGTGACCCACTCGCGCCGGTGACGGATTGAGCGCGCCTTTGTTGTTTCGCTTGTTCGCGGCGCGTATACTAACGACGCCGCTTGTGGCCTTTACCTATTGTTGTTTGCACCTAGCTAGGAAATACGAGGAACCTGGTATAAAAAGAAAATGAACCAAGAGCACAAAGTGTGCTGCGATTTACCGCGACAGCTCTTGCGTTGTTGAAAGATGTGGCTTATGAAGAGAGGGCAAAATAACCTTTAAAAAGGTAATTAAATTGCATTGGAAACTACTTTTTGAAAACTGCTAAAATTTAATTAATTTGCGTTATGCATTAGCGCAGACTGAATTAATGATGTTACATTGCAATTACTTCCCAAAAGTAACGAAGTTACTTTGAAATTAATTTTCAATACCTTGGGTTGTAATTCGTGCTTACTTCATTTACAGTAAATGTACGAGACCTAAGATCTTCCAGTTTACACCGCAACAACCTTATGCGACTGAAAATGTACTATATATACCAGGGGTGGCCAAACTGCCGCTCGCGAGCCGCATGCGGCTCTTCGCGTGTTGAAATGCGGCCTCGCGGCTCCCCCCCCCCCCCCCCCCCCCCCCACACACACACACACACACTTTTTCAAAACGAGAAATGGACTGCGTCTTAAATCGGAAGACAGGTTGCTGTTTGGTAGTCTCGTGCAACTCCTATTTTACGTAGAGTTGGACTGCTTTTGACTCGCATAGATTGAAAGTAGTTAGTTTCGATTATTGCTCTAAACAAAGTTCCACACTTCAACACAGCATGCATTCAATGAAACAATGGACTCTTTTCAAAAGTCTGCGCCAACGCATGTCCGCCGTTGCTTGCACACATACATATATATATATATATATATATATATATATATATATTCTGAGCATGTATTGGACACGAGTGTGAAGTCAGCGTTCGGCGAGAAGTCGGATCCAATCACGCGCTGTATGCCGAAGAAATGGCGACTGCCAAAGCTGCTCGATGGACTTTCGAAAAGGGTCTATTATACCCGGGTGACAAATACGTAATTGCTCAGCTATCCTTGGCTAAAGTAAGACCCTTAAATTAACGAAAGAAAAAATCAATCAATAGCGGCTTCGTAACGCGATTCATCACTCGTGGTGGACGGGGTCGCGTCCTGACCTGGCGATAGTACGTGGTAATTGCACGTAGGAGCGAAGATTAATCTAGCTTCCCACAGCAATATCCCGTTTCAGAATCCACCGAATTGTCTTAACTGCAAAAATGACTGCAGTTTCTTAGATGCCACATGCACATCAGGCTTCTTCAAGGAGTTTGCCTTATAAACTTTCGGGCGCTTATTTCTCTAAATGACACTTTTTGAATTAATAAAGTTTGACGTTCTAACTGTGATAATAGGTAGTTTTCTTATATCATACAGGAGCACCAAACCAAGTCTGAAGGGGCCGTGGGATGAGCAGGAGACAGCACCATGTAATTTAACAAGCAAGCTTCGTGAGATCTTTAATAAAAGTCATCACGCTAACTACCCATAATCTGATATTTCTTGTGGCCTTTTTCCCATGGAAACCAAACAACTATTTGATGCATGCATCACACATAAAACAATGCACCATTGATGGAGAAAGTCTCAGTATGTTGCGAGAATATTTCTTTGTGATTCGAATGTCGGGAGAACCTCTGGCAACCTGTTGCCAGGTCTCTTCGTAGCTCGGTTTGCAGAGAAGTCTTCCGTGAACATACTTCTGAAATTTCCTCCGTAAATCAGATCGCGGAGGCATTCTTCGGCACCATGTTGCCAGACGATCTATCCGTAAAAGGGGGCAAGTTTTTTTTACGGTGTGACAATGGTGGTTTTTTTTTAATAATTTTTGAACGGAAAGGTCAGTTCAGCTGAAAGATTGTGCATTAAAATTTCACTTGAAGTTTCCGTTATGATAAGTTTGGTGCTCAAGAAAGAAGGTCAAGTGGGTCATTCGGTCGGATAACAATGCCTTCATCAATCAGCTGTCTTTGCAATGTACCCAAAATGAAAGTACCGCATCTTGGTCTCACAGCCAGCCAGTTTTAGGGGCAATAAACCAGCCCCTATTTAGGCAACGTGCAGCAAACATAGAAAACCACATCTTCAGGGTAAACGCGTTTGAAGTTCGCCGATGCCAAACTCGGATAACGCGGATGGTGTGCGTGCCTCGCCCTCCCAGTTGCATTCTCAGCCATGTTTATGGGATTTAACTCTGTCCCGGTTGGACAGTGAGCGCGAGACTCATTTATCTAGAGCACCTATATTTATAAGTCCCTTAAAACTTTATAGATTCGTCCTTCAAAAATGGTTCACCTAAAATAATGGGTAGATAGTACTGAACGTATTCTATTTGCGTTTTATTTTTGATGGGGCCCGAAATTTCCCTCCTCAAACACGCAGTAGATATTGCATGTATTTTGCGTGTTTCTTCGGAGTAACGTAAAAGTAATCGAGTAAAGTAACAAAGTAATTAACCGACTACTCTTACGGGTAGTAATTTGAGATAGTAATTAATTACTTTTTGGACCAAGCAATTGCAATTAATTACATCTTTGGAGTAACCGGCGCAAGTGTGTGAATGAACCCTTCGGGAAAGTTTTGAAGGTGTCGCGTGTAGGACATCTTTGCCGCATGCATATCGAACGCGGAGTTCTGTATTATCCAGCTGTAACGGTAAGTTGCATTGATCAGTGGTCCTGCACTATCAACAATGTTAGTAATCTATTAGAATTAATTCTAATTACTCAAGTCAGATAGAAGCACGGATAGCGCAACGCAGTTAAGTGTGACTTACAAACCACATCGCCGCTTTTGACAATGGAACGAGGGGCGTCGGAAGTGTTCGGGAGATATATGTTCACTGTAAAAAATGACCGTGAAATAAACAGTCACCTGACCGTGAACCTCACGGGGCGCCCACCGTAAAAAAAAATACGGTATGTTGACAATGTTTTTCGAGTGAAAAGGGTACGGCGACGGGAGGAAAGAAGTGGAACGAGAGAAGGCACGGCGACGGAAGGAAAGAAGCGGAACGCCCCAAGCGAGGCGCGCTACACACTCCGCACCACGCTCCAGACACATGCACGACACGCACGTGATGTGTTGGGGGCCTTCTGCGCCTGCGTCGTCGGGCTGCTCTCCAGTTCGCGGCTCGCGCCTTGACCCTCGCCCACAGCCCTCGCCATCGCGCTGCCTTGCTTTCGCACCTTCGCCACCTTCGCCGCCTTGTCTGCTTTCGCGCCGTTAGCGCCGTTCCCCCCGTCGGGTCGCCATCTTTTGTTTCCCGAAGGAAGAAAACAAAGCGAGGAAAGTTTGCGGTAGGGAGCACGACCGTGGCTACCGAGACGGCTGACGGCGCAGTACCCGAGGCGTTTGGCGGGCCCAATAGTAAACGAACATAACGTGAGTATCATTTTGAATATGAATGTGGCAAGCACGATCTGATTCTGAGAAAATTAATGCCCGTTGCCGGCAAGATCGAGAAAGAGCCGACACCGACAAACCGGCAGCACGTGCGTTGACGGAGTGCATCGCTGGCCGGCTGTCGATCGTCGTTCGCGCTCCTTTTCGGGAAGGGAGCACAAGCGATTGAGAGCCAGCCAAAGATAGCTTCAGATTAATACTGCGCATTTTCGCGATTTGTCGGTCTTAGCTCTTTTCTCGCTTTAGTGAGGCGACGGCTTGAACGACCATGTTTTTTTGCCGTGTTTGTTCAAAGGGGTCAACCACGTTGGTCGAATATGTGCGTCATTATGACAGCCACGAGTTCGGAGCGCGGCAGATTCCATGTATGCACGCAACTTGTTGTTTGCAGTTCACTACTTATGTAGGGCTCAGATGTCACATCTTACGGTTTCATAAAGGTCAACTGCGCGCGAGTGGACCTCGGCTCGATTTAACGGGTGACGTAAACTTAACATTCACGCTCCAAAAGAACAAGCAATACTAAAGCAATTGCACCCTACCAGTACAGAAATGATGTATTTAAATACTCTTTCTTTTGTCGGACTATTATATAGTGGAACACCCTGCCTGAGCAAGTTGTCAATTGTTGTAGTCCTCAATTATTTGAAGCACAGCTGAATGAATTGTTTGGTTAAATTTTGCATGTGGAAATGTTTATTTTTTGAGCATGCGTGGGTTGCGGCAACCTACCTGCGCTTGCCTCACACGGCGAGTGCATGATTGAGTTATTTCTGTGTGTTGTTTTTTCCCCTCCTGTGCAGAACGACAGGGCCACAGTATTTCAAACGAATAAATAAATAAATTTCCAAATAAAAGCCAAAGGAAGTATGTCAAATCCTAGAACAATAAAAACCTAAAAACACTGATATCTAAATATAAAGCAGGTCTCAGAGTTTAAATCAAATACAAATCATTTGAAGTGTTTCACATGTCTGTCAGACAATTCATGAAATCTACAATGGCTACCTTATAGCCCATAGCGACAACACACATTTCCGAAGTTGCTAGAAGTGACAAATCATTTGATTTATTTGCAGCCAATAGAAGTATGTGCTAGATGTAACGATACAGCGTGTATCCATGCGAATGCGGTGGTCCTGTGCAACTGGGGAGAGAGAGGGTCTTCGAGGTTCCTGTTCAGTTTTGGTGGCACATGTCTCCCCTCCACTAACCAGGGAACATTTGCCTAGGTGCCTTTACGGCCCATCCTCTCCCTTTCTGGAGTAGAATTCTGACTGGCCTACACTCAAACAAGCTCACTCATAGTGGAGGGAAGGCAAATCGAGCCAAGGATCTCATCTCCTGTCGGCAACAAGTAATGTTAGAAGTGTTTGAAATGTGGGGGGGAGACTGGCAGTGAGGGTGGGAGGGACGAAGCTGGGCCCCTTCCCTTTTCCCTTTTTGTTTTTACAATTAATTGAAATGTCCACGATCTGGAGGTGCAGCCCAGCCCCATTGTTTCAATGCCTTGTCAGCAACGTCTACTTATCTGAATGTTTACTATTTTCTCATTTTTTAAACTTTTGTAGGGGATGATCTGTGGACTGCCCACGAGTACGCACTCAGCATTGATGGCAGGCTCATGGTTCAGAAGATACCAGACGTCCCTACGGCATAGGCTGCGCACTCTTTGCGAGTCACTATTGCTTTAACATCTGCTACGCTGAAGGCCTGTCATCGACCCTTGAGTTCCTTCAGAGGTAATTCCTGTTCTGTGATTTTGGTATATGTTTGTGGATGCCTAGTAGGACTCCATGCTTTTTATCTATATCATTTCCAGGCTTATTGTTCCTATTGAAATAAAGCAAACACCTTGCACATTTAGTGTCATAAAAGACATGGACCCACAGTTGGTACCAGGGCCGTACCCAGAAAGAAGTTTCGGGGACAACGGCGGCCATTTTGAAAATGTCTACTGTCCTATTTTCGCCTATAAATCATGTACATCGGTGGCATATAATGGAGAGTTATAGCAAACCGGAGAACCGGTCCCGGTTTGGTACCCAGTAGCCGACCGGCGCCACTGCGCGTGCGCAGAGGTGGAGATTAAAATCGGATGGCTGCAAGTGCACTGACCATGTACCAGCACTGTACCGGGGCTGGTCCTCCGCTTTGCTAAAGAGGTAATAAAAGGATACTTCCAAATCGCTTGTAACCTAAAGAAAAAAAACTGTCGGGAATTTAATTCCTGGTAATGGAAAGGAATAGAAGTTGGTGCATAACTTTTGCCGATTCACCTGGACGACCCTGTGTTTTATGAGAAGTCGCTAGTTGCCTTCGCCATGCCGCTACCACCAAGCCTAGAGGACCTCCGACCTACCACCGACTGCCAGCGAAATAATTTTTCACGTTCAGAGCAATCGCTATCGTGAAGTTTTAAACCCCAGTTGCAATTGCGCAGATATGCGCAGATATGCGCAGATATGCGCAGATTTCGTGTTTGTGCCCTCAACCTATAGGTTGAGGGCACAAACACGAAATCTGCGCATATCTTGAGTGCTTTGCGGTGTTTGGTACATCGGGGCCGTACCCAGAAAAAAAATGTCGGGGGGGGGGGGGGTCAGAACCCCCTAACCCCCCCCCCCCCTCTTAGTTACGGCCCTGGTTGGTACCTTCCTTCTCATTTGTTAAATAGAAGAGTACATATCTCGCTGATTGGAGAGCTGTCCCAATTGTTTCCGCCAGCTCCAAACAACTATAGCTCCCACATCCTGCACCAATGCTGTACTTTTTATTGAAATTGCACCCGAGCAGAGTCCACAGATCGAGTGCATGCGTTTCGCCGCAAGGCACTGCACATGCAAGATGGAGGCAGGTAAATAAAAACCCTTATCTGCTCTCGCAGTCAATCAAACAGCTTCAATTGCATGTATGCATAGGCCAGTGGTCTTGGTGTTTCATCAGGCAGCTGGACTGGATTGTAATAACAAAGCTCAGAAATCAATTTTAGGGAAACATTTAAGCACAAAGCTAACACTGCCTCAACCTGGCTTGTAAAGGTGAAATAAACAAGAAAATAAAAAATAGAGCTTATCTTTCAAACTGATTTGCCCCTTCTGACCATTAATGTCATTTTATTGTGCCCATATACAACGAAACAACTCCAGCAATATTGCATATTTTGATATGCTCCCGCTTCTCACTGTAACGTTTTTGTATACAAGCTTAGTGTTTGGTCCCACCTGTTATAACTTGTGGGTCCTCAGGTTAGGAGAGCTGCAATAGGGAGGCATGAAGAGATGCGTGCGGCTCACGAGCCGCAGTTTGGACCCACCTGATATTCTCTTTACTAAATATTTGACTTTCTTCTAGTCTCTCCCTTCGGTCATGTATACATATGTGACACATATGACTAAATTGACTAACTTTTCAGGTTACCAACTTGGATGAAATGTTTCTTTTATGGCACTGATGCTTATTGCAGAGGTTTCCTGAGCATGAACCCTGACCGTGGCACCAGAGCCAAGCGCTCCAAGTCAGAAGTGAGCAAGAAAGTACTTAACCTGGTCAAGAAAATAGCAGAGCTGGAGTGGAATGTGTGAGGCTGTAAGTATGATTCACTACAGTGTTCACTTAATAAATAGGAAGTGGACATGAGACTCATTTTGAAGAGAAGCAGAAGAAGGTGAAACAATTCAATGAGCGTAAGAGTCCACTGTCACTAGAGAGGAAGAATAATTCTCAGAGATAGATAGATGCAGGGATACATTTACCACTAACGAAGGGTATCTGAAGGTTTTGTAACAGACCACTGTCTTAGCAAACTACAAGCCTTACTGATATATAGTGTGTTTGTCTGCCAGTGATGGATTTACAAAAAAAAATGTTTTCACTTTGTTTTTTGCAAAAAAAGAAAAATTGAATTCGGCGCTTGATTAGTACTTCTCGTGAGTCGGCACCTTTATCAAATTATCTCTGCTGGATAGCAAAACAATGATATCGCACAGCTTATTTTACAGCAAAATTTCCGGCTGTAGACGGGTACCTTGAAAGGTTAGTTCGTGAAATATTGAAAGCAATTTTGCAACTGTTACCCGTCTGGGAGGGGATGTGATGAGGTAGTTTACAATAATGGTTCTTCATTGATTCTGGCGAATGAGTGTATAATTTATGAAACGTTTGGGTAAAGTTGCATGAATTCTTTAATGCTGTGAAAAGGGGACGTCAGGTTTCAACAAATAATGTGTTTTGCCAGTCGAGTTTCATGGCAAAGGCCAGTGACTAACACTCTGGACAGACTGACATGTCACACTGACAGATGCAAATAGTGAATAAATGGTAGTCACTTAGCCATGATCCATGGCATCTAGTCGCCATTGTTCCAAAATAATTTGATGGCCTAGTTAATAAACATAGAACACCAAACTAGTGCAAGAGACTCCTTAATTTTTAATTTTATTTTTATTTTTATTAGTTTATCACTTAAGACTTTTCCTTATTATTTTTTATTATCTTTTTGTGATATATTTTTTTGTGATTTTACTTTTTTCTTTATTGTATTTTTTTTCTCTTCCTGTTATATTAGCGTCAGTGTTGTCTTTGTCTTCCTCTTTCCTCTCATAAAATGTCAGTTGTAAGTAGTGCTCTGTCCTGTCTCATTCTTTCTGTGTTCGTCTTTTGCGCTGATTTTGTGCATAATTGTTCGCAGAGTCCCACCCAGCTTGTCACCATTCTGGGAATAATGGGATCACATAACCATCATCTGTGTGTGGTCACCTGTCCATACTGCAAATAGTGAATCGTTCATAGTCAGACGGTCACATAACCACACACAGCATGCATCTGAATGAGCCCAACACATTCTGACCTTTCATAGCTTTCGTGAGCATAATCAAGCTTGCCTAAATTTTTTCTTACATTGTTGTGATACTGCTCATGCCTACATTTCACCACACATTACTTCAGCCCATTATTATAGAAAGCAGTGAATAAGACCCTGCTTCATGGCTGGACCATCAGAGTGAGCTTGAGCAAATAATCAAAATTTATTGCTGCTCTGGGCAATATAGTATTCAATTTTACTTTTGTAAAATTGATACTGTGCTTTCAAGTTTGGGAATTTTCGGCATTATGTGTGGTCTGTCCAATCTAGTTAGCCACCACCGTTGGGCGCACTCTTAACCATTCACTTGTGCACCACAAAGAGGTGGTACCCACAGGTTTCACACTGATTCTGCATATCTCGTCTCGCTGTAGCAGAGGCTCATGCTTGGGAAGGAAAGTTGTCATTTAAACATATGGTCCACATGTCTTTGAATAGACAGGGAAGTTGAGAAATGATAATCTGAAAATTCTAAGTTGGTGTAAGATTTCAAAAACCAAGTTGTTTGCTAGTACAGGGTCTCCTAAAAAGTTCACGCACTAACATGGCCCATAAATTTGAACATGTATATTATTTAGTGCATGGATTAAATGATGGAGATGATAGTATTGTTGATCACAGTGTGGACATATCAAGTAGTAATATTTCTTGAACGGATATATTACTAGTTAAATTTACATGTTAGAATAAACATAACAATCTTTGTTAAATGCAATTGTTGTGAATAACTATATTACAGAATTTTTGTCCCTAAACTTGACACTAGTGGTAACACAGGGGTGGGAAAGGAAAGCAGGCATTGTCTTCTAGTTTTGACAGGCAAACAGATGTATCTTAATGTAGTATTCACAACAGAATGAATAGGAAGTGTGCTTTCGAAATCCAAAACTTCCTTTTGTTGCTTGAAAATATATTTTTGGCTGGCCCAGAAGGTGCTCCGAAATTACTCTGACCGTTTACATCACATCAGCACTAGCTTGGAGTTACTTTCCTTGATTTTTTTCAGTCTGTGGTTTTCTACTCATTCTGTTCTGTTTGAATATGTCTGTTGAAGGTCGGTCATCCTATGTGGGAACGAGGCATGCAACATGGAGCTCGAGCTCATTCAACACAAGGTCTTGGCACCAGGAAGATTTCAGCAGCCATAAGCAATGGCACTTGGGTCTAAATTTGGTGAGTATGATAATGATCGAGCACCCAGCTGCTTGTGTGAAAAAAAAATGGGGGGACACTTATGCTCGGCCTTAATGTATGACACGATAGCTGGAGGGCGGGGGGTGGAGGAGGAGAGGGGAGGTGGGGGCAAGGGCAGGGAGGGCAGCAGTGGGGAGGGAGAATCCTATGATCCCTTGCATGCACAAGGGATCGTGGCGCAAAACATCGAGGGGTTTTCTCGACATGCCGACGCTGGACGCTGGTTCTTTTGCTGCATTAACGCTATTGGGTTGAAACATAACTTACCTAGCCTCACTTAACTGAAGCATAGCTTTACTACGCTGCCTATAATTACATGAAAAAATGTCTATGTGATGCTAGAAATGAGACATGATTAGCATGCAGTCATATTTTAAGAGAAATGATGCCATTGCTGTGCATCATTTCATGCATCTTATAGTGCATCTTATACATGGCAAATATAGGTCGATAAAATGAGAAGCATGTAAGTGGCAGCTGCATCACAAGCTGTCCATGTTTATTTTGGATATCATCTCAAATTGAAGTGCTGAGCACACTGCTTTAACCATTTGTTTATCTGAAGTGACACTAGGCACAGTGCACAGAGATTCTACTGCCAGCTAAGCCTGACGTTCGCAGCTCGCCCTGATGCAACCCGCCACGACTATTCATATCTCTTATGGTGTGAACATGTAAGAGAAAGATTAATGGTGCCTTTTCATTAGTGCACGGTGGCAAGAGAATTGCAGTCTCTGGGGGTGGGGAAAGACTAGTTCTACGTTAGTGCCAACAACAGTCAACCAGCTTAACTAGATGAAGAGGAGGAGTAAATTTCTATGTGTGCTGCTTAATTAATGTCAACCCCTGATTTTGAAAACAAACTCACTCAGCTCTTAAGTTGACAAATGTCTGTCTAGTAAGTGAATAGTGGGCTTTCCCATAAAATAGCTGTATTTTTGTGCAGCATTCTCTGCCAAACTTTGTGCATATCCTCTCATTCATTTGCCCAGGTATATAGGGGCTGTGCTGGGATACTGATATGGTATTCGGGAAAACCAGAATACATGTACTACATGGCTAATATATAGCTACTGAGATATAATGAAGTTTGACTTGATTAGGCGAAGCTAAGCTAGAGGGGGGGGGGGGGTTCAGTTGTCACATAAAGCTTCTTTCAAACATTGTAAGCAATATCAGCATCATTAGTTTCTTTGCACAGTGAATAAAGCGTGGCTAACATTATACAACATATCTGTTAAATTGCTTCTATTTTGGCACATTTATATATGTTATATTGATGACTGGTTTCTTTCTTTTCCAGATCAGAGGGTATATGGACCTGGGTCTTCATCATCCAAGTAAATAAATGTTCTGTTTTTATTTCTATCCTACACATAATTTATGCTGTGTTCTGGCTTAATTGCATTTGCATGTACATACACAACGATCGCATTGCAGACATGAAGACCACGCTACAATTACAATAAACAGCATGCCACATATATTACAGGCACAAAATGGCTAACCTAAGGAGACTTCGTGACCCATTGTTTGATTCATTGTCTGTTGACCAGTAGTAGGAAGTAAATCGAAGCAGCAAAACATGTGCGGTGAAATGCTAAGCATGTCGCACAATACGGTGGGAAGATGATAGAATTCGACAATGCTTACTTATGTCGAATTTTGCATACTTTCTGACGTGTTGTACGAAGTGCTAGTGCTTCATTGTGCCAGCATTTTGCACCTTCAATTTACTTCTTACGATGGCCAACTGGCAGTGAATTAAACGGTCAAGATTTTTACGGTGACCATTAAATTAGCAGTCAGTTGACCGGCAAATAAACTGCCACCATGCCGTGATCTTAGCGGCAGTCAGTAAATCTCGTTTACGGTCTGTTCAGCATCGCCCCGTAAAATTAACGGTATCTTTTTTTACTGCGACCGTTTAATTTACTGGGAGATTACGGTCAGGCAGTAAATTTGAATTTACGGTCTGCCGTATAAATTACGAGAAGTTGCTGGCAGCCAGAATGCCAGTCAACTTACCGTAATTTTGACGGCCCATTTTTTACAGTGTTGGATCGAGAAAGATAACTTTGCGCTCCCTTCTAAAGAATTGATTGCTAGAAATAAAGGCGAAGGACGATTGCCGCCGCGCAGATCCCCCCGTTCCGTCGGCACGAAATCAAACTCGTTTCTGGCCCGCGAGTGCTGCAAGTTACAAGTGAGCAATTTAATTTATAATCGCGCAGAAAAAATAGGGAATGCCTCAAAAGCGTTTGAAAAAAAAAATATATATAAGGTTAGGTGAGGCGAAATGAGGCAAAACATTTTAATTTCCAATGGTAGTTTTTGTTATTGCTTGAGTATTTTAAAAGGATAGCGTGCGATATTCTTGGATATCTTGACTATACCCTCAGTAAACATTACTTAACTGGAGCAAGCGAAACATTAAACAAAACTACAATATCTGAAAGTCGCACAATATACCCCATTTCGCCCCATCCTTTGGGCAAAATGAGACAACTATAGTGGGGTGCAATGAGACACACTTAACAAACCTGATGTGCGCTTAGCTTTTTTTTAAAAAAAAAAAAAAAAAACTTGAAGCGCACTGTGTGAGCTCCAACGCACTCTTCATGAGCCCACTTCTTGCATTCCATGCACTCGATCCATACTGAATGCAGGGCTGCTTGGCTCTAAAGTTCTTTGCATACCAGGCACTGCCAGTCTCTTGCGATATGCATCGGACGGTATGTAGAACGCTCGGACTCCGCGCGTATCTTCAGGGGGTCACTATAGTCCGTTGCAACCTAAGAACGAAGGGCGAGGGTAAGACGATGTTTACTACAACACTCTGAGAAAATACTTGTCTTTTCATGACGATATATATATATATATATATATATATATATATATATATATATATATATATATATATATATATATATATATATATATATATATATATATATTTTTTTTTTTTTTTTTTTTAAGACATGAATCTCGAGTTTATGGCTTTATATTTCCCAGTTGCTCGGGCTGATCACGAGTTCGCGTAGCCGAGATGCACCCTTCAACGAATAGCCGGCGCTTCCAGCCTCGTAGCGGAACAGTTTTTTATTACAAAAAAACTGGGAAACAAAAATAAAGAGAAAAAAGTGGCAAATGAACACAGATAAGTATAAAAGATATGATTACCTTAAAGAGCAGAGCCGCTTTTCGAGTGAAAATGAGCCGACGAGATGACATCACTTTGGCGGATTGCATTTCTAGCGCTCGATACATGGGCACAGGGACACGTAGCCGTTTGCCTGCGGGCCGCGGGCCGCGTATTGTCGGAGACGCCCGGCTCAAAGAAACTGCGGCGCGACGCGATCCAAATGCGCAAACGAAGTTATCAGAAAGAAGGATAGAAAATGCATCGTAACGCAGGCCTTCTCGCCATATTGTTCATTAGTCCGACCTACAAAAAAAAAGTTTTCCGCGAGGTCGGAAAACTCTCCTCTCCGCCCTTCTCATTTCCACCACTCCCGCTGCTATCGACGTTGGAGGGAGACTCCTTATGTTGCTGCATCTTGTGGCTGGATAAGCCGGGAGTCGGGATAAGCTCCCGGCTTATCCAGGATCAAGATGCAGCAACAAAAAAAGACCCCCTCCCCCCGGACCGTCAAGACAGAAGCGGGAGAAGCGAAATGAAAACGGAGGGAGGTGAGGATTTTCCTACCTCGCGTAAAATAATTTTGGAGGTCGGCCTTTAACATTGTCATCATCAGGCATCATTTCTAGACTCCTGCTTTATGTACGCGTGTAACCATGTGAAAATTTTAAAATTCCTTTGCGTTCTCATGTATATTGTGCTTAGTGTCATCTGTCAGAACTATTGCACATTGTCAGCATTAGTTTTATCATTTTCATTAGCCTTTTGCATTAAGAGAATTTCCCGAATTCTGCATGATTTGAAATAAAATCGCCCAAATTCATTCGTCACAGTAAAGACAAACGCGACTCCAAGGGCACATACACCTTCAAGCGTGACAAAGCTTCAAAATTATTCACACGGCTTTCATTCGTGATCGGAATCCAAGGGAGCGAAGGCGGAGACGCAGCACTTCGCACTCTTAAAAAAAAAAGGAGTCCAAAGGGCGTCACTGCTTCCATGACTCTCTTTGACACTTCACGACTCTCTTAGAGAGTCAAGTTCTCGTGTGACTCTGTTTTGACTCTTCCCCTTCTCAACGGGAGTCAGAGGTCAGCAGCATTTGCCCTACCGAAAAAAAAAGTATGAATGCTGCTTCGCGGCGCCTAGCCGGCAACCCAAGCCCCGCCGTTTCGCTATGCACCTTTAGAAAGGAAGTCCGAGACCATTTAGTTCAAAGCTTTGTCGATATTTTTTTTCAATAATTGTACAAAAAAATTAAAAAGGAAAGGAAAAAGAATAATGCACAAAGTTTCGTCGACATTCACTTTTCTGAAGAATAATTGTAAAAAAACAAACAAAAAACATATGTTTATTTTTTGCATCGAACCTCGGTTCGCTCCGTGAGAAGCGGGCATCTTTCCACATAGCTACACCTGCCAGTACTCGTTTTGAGAATTCGTTTTATACGAGATTCAACATGTTTTCCGTCGTGCATATTATTCGAAACCGAATCCTGCTTCTGCATTTTACATATTTCTAGAACTGTCGTGGGGTGCGTCTCTGGGAGTGAGTGAAGGTGCAGCAGCTTATTAAAGACTTTTCCTACGTAACATGCAACGCAGCTCTTGCTCCCACAAGTTTCATTTTGTTTGCGCAAGCTCCGAACGCTAACAGTCGCCTGACGGTAAAAGCTTTATACTGTGGTCTCGAATGGTGTTAATGCAGAATAAAGCAGTAACCCCAGCCTAATAGACCACGACCTGCTTCTCTGTCCGGCTCTATTTACCTTGCTTAGCCACTTTTCCGGGCCCGCTTTCTTTCCGGGAGACATAAAATCCGATGTATTTTTATCTGGGGCAATTATTGTAATATCCTGGCAAATAATAAAAAAAAAATAGGTTGAAGCCACTTATTGAAAACTGAGCAAAAACCCGACGAAAAGGCTCGTGGTAACCCGAAAATTTCTAAACGCCGGCGTTACAGCACGTATTGACGCGGCTGGAAAACTGGGGAGAACTGCAAATACCAGAATGCACAGAGGCAGCGATGGCGTTGCGCCACTCCTGGTGAGATCGGTCTATCGGTCACTTGTACTACGTCAATTAAAATTTTCTGCGGTTCAAGTTAGCCATATTTCGTTGTATCTCTAAAGGGGTACAGAAACGAACTTCCAGCGCTCATTTCTTAGCTTTAATGCGTTGCATGTTGCAGCATAACCTCAAAAATACCAGCCTTTCGTTGAAAGACACAAGAAAACTAATTTTAAAGCTAATTAAACGATCTTTCCACGCGCACCTGGTGGATGCATGTCTAGCCTATTTTTGAGGTAATCTAGCAACTTCGGGGAACTTGCTACGTAGTCATGACGTAGCAAGTTCCATCGGAGCAGCGCCGCTCTTTGGAACTTCAACATTTTCCTTCTTAGCTTTCGTCCTCAACTCACAAATCGCGCATTGTACCAAACAATTCAAGAAGACGGAAAGGAGGGACCAAACTTGTGCTCGTTACTTGAAAAATGTAATGGATTACAACTACAAATTACCGAGCCTCAAATGTAATGAATTACCATTACAAATTACTTCCGCTAAGAAGTAGCGGATTACTTTACTTGTTCCGTTACAAATTACTTTCACGTTACTTTTCCCGTACACTTGTCCAAAAAAGAGTAGAAACGATTTTGATATTTTTCAAAAATGTTCTGCAACACTATACATTTCATTTCTCATACACCAGTATTACGGTGGTTCTTGTAAAAATAAAATATTGTATTTAAAAAGAAGGACTGTAGGTGCACTCCGTTCACCTGTAAGCTGACAAGGCACCGAAAGCCGCAATTACACTCGCCATTCCGCTTACTTACGGCCTTCGGAAATGATCCCTGGAAGTGTGCAGACAAAGCTAGCGGTGCGCATGCTCAGTGGCAGCGTCTACTTCCGATACGAAATTCGGAGCTAAAGCAGCGGCTCTACGAAAGCTCCCTTTTGACTCGGGTTTTTCGCCTGTTATTGACAAGAAAAGAAAAACTTGGTTCTAATTTGACAATGTATAAGCAATGCAGAATGCAGGGGTCCAAAGCTTACTATGATGTGTTTACGTAGATCAGAGTTTGTTGTTCTTGCTGATGGCAATGTCTCTGTTGTTTTGTTCTTTTTGGCAAGCAATTATTGGAACTCTAAATTTCCGTTCTCATTAATGACCTGAAATTTGAACATCTCATTGAGAGATGGCCATGGAGACGACGGACACTCCAGGACCGAAAACTCGACCAGGCAGAGAAAATGTGGTGGTTCATCGGTTCTCACTTTCATACCAACATTCGTGGGGGGGGGGGGGGGGGGCAGCAGGGGAGGGTAGGGCTCGTAGAGCGAGAGGAGCAGTGACCATCGGTCTGAGAAACCAACAGAGGATCACACCACTTTTAGGGGTTCTCTTCTTCTCTCTGTCAGCACTCCTTAGATGGCCCAACCACCCGCCCCCTCCCCCTTTATGCTGACAGTTGACTGTAATGTGAGGAGTGGACTCGACCACTATGCTTAGACAAGTAAACCAAAAGAAGTATCGTCCATACCCTCGAAGACAATGCTCTTAGCCTCGCGCCGGACGCTTTTCATCTGTGCCTCAAGAGCGTGCTAGAATACAGCAGCGCACATCAAAAACAAAGAGAATTCGACCCTTTCGCGCGAGGCTACATCGTCTGTTACGCGAGTTGTGAACCCGCGAATGAAGGGGTACGGACCCGCGTTTGATTTCTGTGCAAGTGGCAGGAGTCGTCGGAAAACTTGGAAAGGGTGAAACGGTGTAAAATACAAAAATAAATAAACACGAAAAGCTTTCTCCTGCACGGGAGAAGAGAAAAAAAAAAACACGATGGAGGCGACGGAGAGCCCACTCGGCGTTGTCTTACTTGATCTTTGCCTTTGGTATATATTTAATT